TTTCGGTATGGGGATATTACACTTAGTGAGCAACTGCTAATATATCACAGGGAACATTGATTAATTGTACCATTTGATTAGATTGTTTATTCCCTGACATGATCTGCTACACATATTTACTTAGTTTTTTTCGATTAAGTATCAACTTTTTTTGTTATATCCTCTCGATTTGAAATGGCCAGTTGTTGTTTTTTTCCCCAAAATCTGGACTTGCTGGTAAAAACCCGCAACTGCACACAGGGGATAATGACAGTGTAGGGAGACTTCAAGCTACTGTACCTCTCACCTTTGACCCACTTATTCTTCAACATGTCAGAGGCTGCGAATCAGCTGGAGGAGAGGTACATCCCTTACCGACAGCACCATGTGCCTGCATACACCTGGGAGGAGGAAGGGACTACTGTGTCTGTAATTGCAGAAAGAGCCCCAGCCAACTAAACCCACACTACCCCTTGGTAGTGCTCAGGCAAATGTAGGCCACAGCTTAGTGAATCCCGGTCACAGTTTGCTAGCGACCTGATCCAGGCCCGAACATGTGATTGTAGAGCTTAGCCTGTGCTCAGCTGAGAGATCTTACTACTTTTTACTCAGGAGGTCCCGTGAAATTTTAAGAAGAGAATCTGGGAGCTAGGAATCATTAATTATTTGCACTAACTGCTTACATAATGTTGTGCAATAAGTTGTAAGTATCTTAGAAACTCCTGGTCAATTAATTTTATTAGTCAACATACATTAATAGTGCTTTCACATGAACTAGAGCTCTGACAATCTTAAGTTTTCAGTTTGGGTGGTGGCTTAAGGAAATTGTTCATTAGCTTTGTAAACCAAACAATATGCAATAAATGCTTCTGCAGTGCCTGTGAAACCAAGTGGGATTGGGGATGTGGGAATTGTGCCTTCACAGGATTTATAGCTTACCTCATTCTCATTTATAATTACTACTTGGTCAAGAGGCTTACATTGTAACATCAGGTGGCAAACATTTAATCATACATTTGAAAATGCCCACAGATACAAAGGTGAATACTTTAAGCTTTATTCTGCCAATGACTGGGACAATCTGTAGCTACAAACTGGGAAAAAAAACCCAGAGGGTAATAACCTGTGGGAGGTTTAGTCAGATAAAGGTACTATGTCTTAAATTATAGACTAGTGCAAAGAACTGGACCAATGAAGACAAGAATGTATTTTCCCAATTCAAGTAATGTAAATGAATTTAAACAAGTGAAGTTGTCCAGTATGTTGAGAGAGGCAATTAATCCAAAACTAAAGAATCACAAAATTGAGTGCGGGTGTTGTATCTTGATATGATATAGTGTGGTATATATTATTGTGACAGGAACAAGTAATACAGTAGGTTTGTCCACTGCTGAAAAGATAAGAAAGAAAACGCAACGTTTCGGCCGTGGAGCCTTCTTATATTGTGACAGGCTATCAGCCAGTGTCCATTCCGGAAGCTGCAGCTGTAGGGAATTGATGGTTTGATAAGTCACAACTGTGGGTGGTCCTGTAAGCAGCCTGTCTGACTTTTCTGAGGGGACTGCTGGGGTCTGGGACTGCAGAGAGGGCCTGCTTGGCTCTCACACTCTGCAGGGCCACTGCAAGGATTCTCTCTGCGAGAGACGGAGAAAGACAACGGCTCATTTCAAAGCAGCTGTGCGTGTCAGGGAACTCTCCCAGACCTCCTATGCATGGGTGAAACCCACTGCAACTCACAACTGGCAGCAGGGCCGTAAGGCTAGACAGCGGTCGGTCTGCAGGCTGCAGAAACTCGTGGCTGGTTGTATGGGGTCTGCGGGGGCACCAGAGAAGAGGTGTGCCCAGGATCGCAGGGGGCTGTCAGTCACAGCCACTTCACAGCTCACGCGAAAGTGAACAGTGTGCCCATGCAGAAGACCTGCAGGCCTGGGGGCCCGGAACAGCTCCTGCAGAAAAGGAAGGAACTGTTGGGGGTTGCTGCTCAGACTACAGTGGGGCTCCTCTCCTGTTTCGTCGCGCCCAGGGGGTGGAAGTTGTAGGAGCGGGACGTGCAGCTGGGAGGACCCCAGCTCTGTGTTGGGGGAGTAATGGGGTTTACCTGCCCGAACGCCGGCTCTCTGGCACCCAGGGACGGCTGGCGTGTCTCCACTGGAAGGACCTTGGCAGGGGAGAGGACATGCCGGCCTGAGAGCTGTTGTGAGCGTTGGTTTGAAAGACCAAGAAAAAGACAGTGTGGTGACTGTGTGCGGTGTGGGGTGTGAAATATAGCTGGGTGGGGGTGAAAGAAAAGATAAGAAGAAACAGAGTGTCAAGTGAGTAGTGAGTGAGGAAACATCTTGTACAGATGCCTCCACTGCAAGCTCACTGATTGACATGGGGCCCCCTGGTTGTTTACTTCAAGTTTTGTTTTGCAATTGTTACTAATGGAGGAGTTTGAATTGTTTCCATGGGATACCCTAACTTTATCCAAGTTTAGGAGAAGGTGCAGTTCACCTAAACTGAATTTTATTGAGACAGAGTTGTAAGTTGGCTGTTAATGACAGTAAGGTGATTGAAAGATGGCTGTCATCAACATGAATATGGATATGAGAGTCGGCGGCTATTGGCTGAAAAGACCATGGAAAAACACCTTGAAGGACTCCCTTAGCATTGGGAAGAATTTGTAGAACGAATCTCTCTGAAAAGGAAATGTGGTATAACCTTGCAGTCCTTGTTGTAATAATAATTATAATTAATAGGCCTTTCCTTATTGTGGGTGGATGCATCAGTTAACAGGTATTAACATGTTAGGATATCCAACACTAGCAATAATACGAGTTTATACTTCATTCTTGATGCACATAATACTCAGTACGCATCATTCAGTTGTTTCAGCATTGTTTTTTCTTGATATTGAGATGGAATGTTTTGTTTAGACTTCCATTTTTTTAAACGCTCTCTCTGCAGGAACTGCTTTTGTCGGAGAAACGGCTTCCCGTGCTGGATACCCAAGCTTGTGTCACTGCTGACTCTATTCTGAAGAGTTTAACATTGTCAGATCCAGCCTTGATTTTTCACTACATGCTTTGAATACATCAGAATTAGAACAGATGGGCTACTAAGACATTTTTGTTAGTTTTGAACACAAATGGGGTACTATGGTCTAGTACCCAACAGATCCAAACTTCAGTTTTAAATCACATGAGAGCATCAGTTAAAGATGCACACATGCACCTGCTGTATGATTTGCTGTTGAGGAGTGGCTTCAGCAGAAAAGAGATGTCTGTGTTTAAATATGATTAGACAAATTTGGCTTCATGCAAGATCAGGAAAATGCAAATCTGACCTGCACACTGTAGCCTAATGGCTGCACTCTGCAAAGCTGTAAACCTCCACAGTAATGTGCCTAGGAGGTACAGTATGAAACGCAGTGAAAATATGGGAAACGTAATCTGTATTTGCCAGCATTCAGTTCTTGCTATGAGAAAAAGTCTCCCAACATTGTTATAATAATATATCTATGTTCTTGCTTAATAGGAATAGGCGTATTTTCTTAGTACTGCCAAGAAAACAGTTTAATTTTTAGGTCTGAGAGATTCAGTTTATTTCTTGCAATAAGTGAATCCTATGACAAAGATAGTATGTCTTCTTGAGAGGAACTGTAATGTTTGCTTTACTTGCATGGAGAAACCATCAGTGAAATGCAACTTTTTGGAGAACTTGAGTGAAAAGTTGTTGTTTTTTTTAAATGAGCTGATTGTGCGTAACATAAACTTAAGTTGCAAGTGGCAGAGCTCTATCCATGCTTGGTTCTCAATAAAGTTAATAAATTATGGCCTCTTGTGGTTGTTTATATAGCTGAATTATTTTGTGTGCAACAGAATTCTGCCAGTCTTTTACAGTATACAGTATTACACTAGTAATGTGGCTGGTGAGCATGTTATTCTTATGTGTATATATATATATGATTTTACTTTGTCAATTTATACAACTCTATTTTTAACACTGTATAATTATAATAAGTGACGTGGGTGTCATTGGGGTAGTTTAACATGGAGCAAAGTCTTTTCCAGCACTTCACTGTCATATCGTTCAAAGCGGTTCTCTAAGGAACATAATTGGTGGCCACTGGTCTAGACCTTGCAGGCTGTAATCTGGGCTGTCAGTGTCCCCCAAGTGGCAGATCACAGCTGATTCAACACCAGCAGCAACCTTAGTTTTTCCCAGGAGGTCTCCCATCCAGGTACTGACCAGGCTCACACCTGCTTAGCTTCAGTGGGCTGCCCTTTGTGAGTTGCAGAGTGATATGGCTGCTGTGGCCTCAGTAGGCATATTAAGAGTTTAGTGCTTAGGAGCAGTCTGGGGATTTCTGGTTGACCAGAAGGCTAGGCCTCTGAAATGCCTTGTCTGTAAATACTGTACATAGAGTAACATGTTTTGCCGCTCAGGTATATGGCTAGAAAATCACTTACAAGCCGGGGACGAATAATTATTTCACTGATTGAATCCTGCCATTTTTAACGGTATATATGTTACCGTTTTGTATTTGTATGTACTTGCTTATTACTTCATTTTATTTTTGAGTGGCACTTGCTTTCCTCTTACAACATTCTCCTTAATGTCTTTTCCTTGTCATTTTGTTTTTTTGTACCAGCTTGTTATCCAGTCTACTCTTTCCTTTGTGAGTACGCTTCAGGTAAAACATTTCTAAACACTGTAAGTTGTCCTATTTTAGGTAAGGTGAGGAAGGTCTGGTAAATAAAAATTCCACAGTATTTCATGTGACATTAATATTTCTATAAAAATGACTGTATTTTAAACGTTACACATTTTAAAATGTCATCACAAAACGTCCTGTTAAGTGCTGCTGTTTTAGTAAATGACTATGTTATAATTCAGTACTTTTTCACTTAGACCTTTCAGAGGATATCACAGTTCCCCCAATCATTTATGTGTAAAGGAATCTGTACGTTCCAAGAAGTAAAATATCTATTAAATGTGTTATTACATTTATTTATTATAGTTTTCTTTTTTCCATCCAGGGTGCCTTTTAAAAATTGAAGAAACACCTGATGCTGCAATGTCTTACCAATCTGGAATACCTCGGGATGCAAATCAGCTGGCACAGGCCATAAGCTCTAACATCCAAAAGATAACCCATCAAAGTAAGTGTTTTTCTTACATGGTCAGGATATGTACTGTAATAACCTAGGCTGGAGGTTCCCAACTGAGCGGCCTCCTGGTGGTCTCTGGAAAAAGTTATTATTATTAATTAAAATTTGATCTTTGGCTGTATATTTGTATATTATTGTTATTTTAATGTTTTTTTTTTTTAATGTATGTACAGTACATTTATGATTATTTCATTTTTTAATCCAAGCAATGCCTTTGTAAATGTTCTGATAAGGTTGCATAAGACAAGTTGACGTCGTATTTTTTTGCCAGTTAAAAATTAATTCCTCTTTAGAAACATCCATTATGTGGAAACTAAAGTTTCCTTTTGCGGTTATTTAAAATAGATTTGTGGCTTAAACTGGGACCGTTAAAAAAAAAAAGATAAAGCCACATTGAAAATGGTGGTAGAGTGAGTGTAAAATGTCTGTTTCACACTGCAGTTAGATAAAACTACAGAAGTCGCTGACTCAGCCAAACTGCTTGTACACATTAGATAGGAATATTAGGGAATAGCACATGTAAAATTTTGTTTTGCAGGCCACTGCCTATCAAAATGCCCATTTACTGAATTCCAGTGAGTTACAGAATGGGTTTGCAGAGGAGTGTGGTGTTGACTGGCAGTGTTGTTGGAGTTTGAACGGATCTTGCCAGATGTCAGGGCAACATGAAATGAACTCGCTGTAGATTCCATCAAGAAGCTTTGCCTTGAAGAGACCGCCTGAGGGCAAGACGACTGTGTTAGATTCTGCTGTGAAAGCGATGAATATCGTTGAAGCAAGACCTGGGAATTTGTGGTTTATTTCCCGGGCTCTGTAATGAAATAGTAGTCACACGTAGCTTCTGATTCACGCAGAAGTAAGGTGGTTATCTAGAGGCAAAGTGCTCACATTGTTGTTCAGATTGCATGTGGGTGTTCAGATGCTTCTGCAAGAGCATCTGCTCTCTTTGTCAGAGTGCTCTGTAAAATCTGACTCGTTGAGATGTGAGAAGTACTCACATTTACAGTTTTTGATGGAGGTGATAAGATTAACACCACGGTGAAAAAGCTTCAGTTGTCTGAAATGAAAACTTAAGGCATGCTTTCTGTTTTCCCCACTTTTGAAATTTGACTGAGATATGTTGCAATGAAACAATAAGATATTAATTCAAAAGGTATTTCTTTATTAAATTTTGGATGCAAAAGTGAATATGCTTAATTTTCACATCAGGCGGCATGACGTCTCCTGCGGCTTGCGATCATTTGTCAGCATGACTGACGCCAACTCCAGTTGCCCCTGACACAGCCAAGCTTTAGTCAGACAGATAGGTGGCCACTTCCCCTTAACAAATTAACCTCTACGTTTATTACTCTATACTTTATTTTACATGCTGTTTATTTTGTTTTAGTTGTAAATGTTTTGATGGTCTGCTAAGGCCTTCATAATTTTTTAATGGTCTGTGGGGAGAGAAAAGGTTTGGGAACCACTGATCTAGGTACATACATAAATAATAGCGACATTAAAGAATCACAATAGAGTAAACTGTTTAAATGAGTAAAAATCACTTAATGGACGTAACAGACAGAACCTGCTAAAGTGAAAATTAAGAATACAATCAGAAATACCAGACTTTCCCCATAATAGACAAAGTATAGGGCAGCTGATATATTGTACATGTAATGGTAGGCAAATTGCTTTTGATGGATGTTTTCTTTTGCATGCTTTAGCAATGTTTAAATTCAGGAATATCAATGGTACCCTGCACAGGTAGGTCATGGGTGACCTTGTGATGGGTGTTTCATATGCTTTAGCAAATACATTTTACACTATGTTTATGACAATTGAAATAAAGACTTTGTATCTTAATGATAAGAAATGATTTTCATTGACCGTTGGTTGCATGTGAAAAAGTAAGTGCACTGTACCCTTCAAATACAGTAAAATAGCTAATAGCAGAAGCATCCTGTTTATTGTCCTTGTGTGTGAGAGATAAGGTTAGTTTATTTTGTAATAGTTCACCTTAAAGATTGTAGAACTAAAGCTTTATCACCCTCATTGATTGTAAAATACATTTGTCCGTGAAAATACTTGAATTGATACAGTCAGTCATCTTGAACTGAATTCGCCCTTTTTTCTTGTTTGACATTCTAGCAAATATGAACCGCGATATGTGACCGCAGTGAAATCAGTTCTGTGTACTGTAATAAGTATCAAAATTCAAATGATATGAAGTGCTTTAATTAAACATTGCTTGGTTAAAATGTCAAATTATTGTTGAAATATTGTCTGTCAAACAAGTTTAAGAGAAATAGAGTTCTAAGTGATTTCTTTTTGGGCCCTGTTAAAAATGGTGCAATCCAACCTAGATGTCTTTATACCTATAATTCTAGACAGTGTTATGTGGAGAAGAGCCTTATCTTTGAAAATAACTTCTGTAAATTCTGTATTGAAACCCAAACTCCACAGTATTTTGAAAGTATGCTAAAACCTTAAAACAAAGGTCATGTGGAATTTCATTAGAATGTGTGGTCAAGTTGGAGTCAGATACACAGACTGTAGTCCTCTCACTTCACTTACAGTGCTAAGGTCCAGTACCCCAGTAATAGAATTACTAGAAGTACTGTCAGATAATGCAGTTCACTGTGCTTTCAGTAGTTTTCTTGAAAAGCACATCACAAATATGTGTAATTTAACAATGTCTTTATTTCTGTCTTGATCAGCATCTGAAATTCAGCGAATTATAAACCAGCTTGGAACTCCACAGGATACCACAGAACTTAGACAGAAGCTGTAAGTTGAACACTGTATTTGCGTATAGTACTTGTTGTTAAATAGCATGGATCTGTATACTTTTATGTTCAAGTCATGTGTGAATCCCTTTTTTAATGCAGAGATCATTTACTTTTTTAATGCAGAGATCACAAAAAAATGATGAAGTCATTAGTAGTTATAAATGTGACAGAGCATTAAAAAAGCTTAATCCTGATGTAAGTATTTTCTTAGAAATATGACATCTAAGGATTTTGGCTGTTAATTGATATATGATGTTTGTGGTGTCTTTTTGATTACTGGATCTTTCAAGAAAGACCGTGATATGCTCTAGTGACCTTGATAGTTGTATAAGCACTATATTACTTCATTAGAGAGAAAGTTGTTTGAACAAAGGTGATGAGGTAATTTAACCTGTTTAGCATAAGGCCTGGTGAAAATCAAGACTTAAAAACACAGAAAGAGACCAATATGCCCCACATATTAAGGCATGGTGGAGAATCAACTAAGTTGCCATTTGGTACACTGTCTGGTGTTTTCAGTTTTTAATCTTGCAAGATGCTGCAGCCAAATGATCCTTCGGTGATAAGCCACCATCTGCGAGACTACAAGTCGTGACACCTCCTCAACATATCACCCTGCTCCATCTTTATAACTGTCTTTACACTGCCAGTCTGGCCGCATCAGAAACGTTGGAAAAAGTGATTGACAGCAAGCTGCCTGAATATCATGACATACAGTACAGTAGATCGAGTCCTGGGGCCGTGCCTGCACTTTCCTGATGTGGCATTGTTCCAGCAGGACTGTGCACGTCCTAGTTATTGCTAGTTATGTAGCACTGGCATTCTTGCAAAATGTGAGCGTGGAAGTACTACTCCTCAAGTGTGAGCACATGTGAACATTTCTGGGGTGACCTGGAGCAATCCGTCACATCTACTGCTCAGAGGACAATGAACAAGGGATATGCGTGTCTAGGTTTGTAGGACAGAATCCTACACGATAGTATTTGCAATCTGAAGCTAAATATGGTCACCGCTTGTATTGTGTCTAATGGTGACCACACACAACTGTTACTTTCTGAGCAGATGCCCTGTGTAGACAAGTGTTCAGCAAACTGAATTAAACTGTCATCTATATTCAGCACAGTGTCAGAGCACTGTTCTGATAACTGTTGATGTGTTGCAGTTCTGAATATATCTTTATGCTTAGTATATTTCAGAATCCATAGTAAGATCTTGTGCACTATAAGAAATAAAGATGTACATTGGAGAAAGCTAATTTAAAGAATGATTATTTCTACCTGAAAACAGTACTCTGGAGGTGGAAAAGATTCATCTGGGTGATTCAGCCCTGTGAAAGTCTGCATTTGCTGTATATATACAATAATAGTCATTTTTGAAAGGTGGAGGTTAATGATAGAAGAGTAAGTAGGCCGGAATATTCAAGTACTAAAGTGCTAAAGCATAATTGATATGAAGAAAAGCACTGGAAACATTAGCCTCACCTGAGCAAACTCCTACTTGTAGTATGTATACTCCTGCTGCTTGCAGCCTTCTGTAGTAAATCAATTGGGTGTGCCATGGATTACAGCAGTGAAGATTTGCTTTTCTTTGATTAGTAGCACAGATTACCACACCACACTACGCTGCTTCCACTGCTTCTTTGAAAAATACTGTCAATTTAAGTTATCCTGTACTTTACTCTGTATTGCAATGTATTAACCATATATCAATATTTATTTTATCAGAGATACATCAGCTGTGTTGCAGTACCTTAAATGTATGGTGTGCATTATAAATGACCACTAAATCCTTAACCAAATTGGTTATGCCCAATGTCAAAGTGAAAGTGGATTGCATATGTGTTTACTTGTAAAATAGTCTGTACTGTAGAAAAATCTTTTTTTTTTTTACTTTGGGGAATTTTGTTTTTGGTAAATAGATATTTGCCATTAAAGATGAACTTTCACTTTCTATGATGCATGTCAGATATACTGTATGTAGTAATGTAAACCAAGTGTAATTGTGTATTTCCATTTCTTAGAAAATGCATGTAGTATTAGAAAATTCATGAGTCAGTTCAGTTGTGCTTTCTAGGACTATTCAGAAAATACTTAAGCAAAGAAAAACTTGCAATTCAGGTGGTCCAGAACATTTCCTGATAATATAGAATGTCTTATTAATGGAAGTGGATCTCAAGAATTGTGCTTTTGTTTCCTTTTCTTACTATGTTCTAGGCAACAAAAACAGCAGAATGTTAGCCATCTTGCCAAAGAAACAGACCGGTATATGAAGGAGTTTGGTTCACTGCCTGTAACATCTGAACAGGTACACATTTTTATCAACATATAAACTGCTGTTTATGTAATATTCTTAACAGGAAGGGACAAGAAATACTACAAAAGATCTCAATTTGTCTCTGTTTTCCTATGAAGTCTGTTTTGCATATAATGTTACTGAAATGTGATTCATGTGGTGCCAATGTCCTGTTAGAGAAGGTTTATGTATTCTTTTAAACCCACGTTTTTAAGATCTACTATTAGTACTCTCTTAAATGCAGTGTGCTCTGTATGTAATGTAGCCTGTTTCACCTGATTGTGAAAAATTAGCTTCCATCACCTTGGTCCCTGGATATACCATCCCACTAGGGACACTGAATCCAGACCTTTGGTTCAATGATACTTTTCTTTTCAGCACAGAGCAGAGCTCATACAAGACTAATACACCTTGTAAGACCAGTGAGTTTTAAAAGTGTTGGTCATTTGGCATGTTACAAGCTGGACTCATGCTGATTTCACTGTCCACTTGGGCACGCAGTCCCAGTCTCCGGTGACAGCAGGCCGTAGCAAAGTGGAAGTCGCTCCAGTGCTGCCAACTTTAAATTTGCTCTTGATTCTAGAGAGTAAACCAATTATTTCTCTAGTGTTTTTTGTCAGTAGAGAATTTAAGCTGTACTAGTTGCCAAAAATGCCTATTTAGTTTAAAGTACTGGAGTGCTATTACATTTTCACCTTAATGACCTTTCACTTTGACATTGTCACTGTAGTTGAATACAGTTAATAATCGATTATCCCTCATGAAATTTGGAAATGGACTGGTACAAATGCATGCCCCCAAAAATCTGAAAGGAAGTGAAGATGGGAAAAGTTGCCATAACACAGTATTTGCAGCAAAAAAAAAAGTAAACAGGGAGTGTGCAAACTGCAATGCAGTTAGTTTTAATAAGGGACAGAATATTTGTGTAATATGTCATGTTTATATAATAAATAAAATACAATAAAGTTCAATTGTTTTTTTGCAATCTGGCAGCATTTGTTTTATAAAAATGGTACCGGGAGGCTGGCGGGGTGACTTTCAGATCATGCAAGCTATCAAAACTGAGCAACTCAGTTTACTGCCACTTTCTGGTTTGGTGCACAAGGTAGACTGGTGCCTGCTGGATGCAGAGGCAGGCAGGTAAAATCCTAACTACTAATCCTAATTTCACCTAACTGGACCTTTTAAAGTAAAAGCTGACCCTTTGCCTGTTTTGTACAAGAAACAGGTAAACCACATTGCAGAGGTGAATGTCAGTGTTTGACAGCAAAGATAAGATTTTTCCATTGACTTAGCAGATAAATGAATAGTTGAGATTTAAGACTGCCACTGCATGCTGCTTTGTTCTGTGGTTTTTATCATAACTGTGGTATGTGCTCCTGTGATAAGCAACATGAAAGTTTGCACCAGTAGTGCTAGTGTTTCAATTTAATGTTAACTCTCTTAAACAAGAATTTAATCAAATTCTGTTTACTAATAACCCAAAATAAAACGGTGGTCTGATTGCACTGTAACTCAGTGATGTGTTGGTGAATTCTAGAATTCCTACACATTGTAGTGACAGACATAACCTTTAAGACCTTAACCCACTTCGACATCATTTATAATTCTTACTGCCCTCATCAATTCCTACTACCCCAACCATTAACACAGAACATAGACACACATTTAAACTCAAGAGGCCTCCCAATTGTCCACTTCCAACCAGTCACAGGGAAAACACAAGACTCCTGATCAGGATTTAACCCGTAAAACAAAACATTGGATGAGGATATGCTTATGTAATTTGTATATGTATTTGGTAACGTTGGGTATTTATTGTGCTTTCCTCCTTTGTGCACATGTGTCGTCTACGGCAACAAATCATATGACAACGTGGGACTCGGGGATCAGGTGAGTCCTTACTGTATGTGACATAACTCCATCCAGCCTTCTTTCTCCTCTTTGTGACTGTATATAAAAACACAGCTTGTCCGGGGCTTAGCAGCTCAATTCAAAATAATGTATTCATTCCCAAGAGTCAATTTAAGATGTTCAATTTGTTGACTCTATTAAACGAGAGCATTACTATGGTGATGAGAGAAGTTAACAGAGGTGTATAAACTTACACCAAAACATTTCTTATTCCACTAAGCACCTGTGAAAGTTTTGAAGAACTGTAATGCTGTGTAACATTGTCAGATAAAAATACAACAAATACCAAATACAGATGTCAGCCATAACACTAAATACCCCCTTTTTGGAAACATATTGGTGAAATCTGCTCACTTCCTTGTTGTAAATTGTAGATTTCAGAACATTTTGCCGAAATAATGAGGTGATCTGTGTTGTCATTGTGGCTGGACACATTTAAATTGTAGCTTGATATTAAATTCCTGGCATGGAATTACATTTAATCTGGGTCTGTTAAGAATGCTGTAGGGAGACGCTGCCATCCCTGATGGGTCAAAGAACTGACATTATGAGAGACGTCAGTAAGAAAGAACCTTTTAATGATTACAAAACAAGGCAGTGACAGTTGTTTCAAGTCAAGTGTTTTCTTGAAAAGACTGTGACCTTGAAAATGTACATTTAAGGTTGCCATATCAGAGATGAGTGCATATCAGGTGGGAATTAGGGGAACCCACAAATGTCTTTCCACATAATTGTAATGTCTCTGGTGATTTAGAGTTGTCTCTGGTAGATGAGGAGGAGAGCAAAACAGATGCTGGAATGTTTTCTGCAGTCTGAGTTTAATTTAATCTAAAATAGTTCTTGACAAAATTTTGGAACGTTCCAACCCTTTGTCATTCTGAAAGCCAACAGTTATATTTCTGCCACCCAATGTGATGTGAACTTTAAGTATGATGGATTAAGGAAAAATGAAAAAAATCTGAAATAAAAATACAGTAAACAAGTCATTCTTTTTTAGTGTGTGTGTTTGGTCCTTTGGTCTTTTAAGGATTTTAAAAACAATCTTTAACAAATCCCATTCTTAACAGTAAACAAGACAATGTGTGGAATTGCACAAAACCCACAACTAAATCTCGGTGTTTCACACAGCTCTATGAACACAGACATCCTGTAGCTTCTTAAAGTCTAAAACCCTAGCTGAGGTCTCAGCTATGAACTGAGATATTTCGTGGAGTTCCTGTGTCTAAGTATCTTAAGTATTTATTGTACTGTATGTGTGTAGGCGGAAATTACAGTGAAACGTCTAATGTGAAACATTGATTTTATGTTATTTGATATAGGATCTTGTATGCAAGTAGAAACAGACCACATGAAAGTTATATATAGAAAACTCTGACATTTTTAGAACATCCAACACCAATAGACCTTTCAGACCATAGTGTATTTACAGTACATGCAATGTATTTGGTTGACCATATTATTAAATTCTTGTTGGGAAAAATAAAACAATGCATATCATAGAGGATCTACAGAATTGATGTTGTGATTTTGCTAATTAAAAGGGGTTTGAGGTGTGTCACCCTGTACATACTGTTAGAAATTCAAAAACATTTACATTTCTCAGAAACATGTAGAGCTTAATGCCTGTTTCTGTCCATGTGTGCTCTGTCAGTCTATTAGCTATGCAAAGCTAAATATATCTGTGCAATACAAACCCACTTATTCATACAGCTATCTCCTTTAAAGGTCATGTCATCCTAAACTCATAACTTTTTCTTCAGACTTCACCGCTTACACGGTGACGAGATGAACTTCCAAAACTAACCTCTTAAAATGTACTCATCTTTCATTGATCAGGCCTTCAGTGAGGCAGAAAACAGCCCAGAACATCAACAAGTAATTCCCAGATAGAGAGCCACATTTCACTGGTGCCTCCCTTCCACACCCACATGCTTTCTGTTCCCAAGCTCTTTAAAGAAAACTTCTTTATTTTAAAGGTTGACTCTTCAACTCTGACCAACTAGCCACTGTCCAAACCTAATATGCACCGTTTGCTATAACAAATGTCTCTGCACTAACTGCAAATATTTATCTAGCATACATATGCATGCACCCCCTGGCAATTTCAAGGTCAGCAAGACAGCATGTCTTGTATCCAGCAATCTAATTTGTTGCATCTCTTACAAAAAATATATCTTAGTAAAACACCACCTGTGTAATCTTCCCTGACATTCTACTTAATCTTTGTTTTACATAACATGGGGAGACATCTTCACTTTTTGCTTTCAAATTAAAAAGGAAACATAGGTCTTCCATCATCTACAACCTCTGCAGGGAATGTTCCTTATATCTGTCCATGTAATTCATACCGTTTGGCCTTGGGACCGCTCTGCTGATCTACTGTGCATTCTCAAAGGCTCAAAGCTAGAAGTATATACACTAAAAACAATGCAGGTTTGCAATAGAATTGCAGTTTCAGAATAGCCTCTTGACAGGTTACTCTCTAATCCGTAATCCTGTTTGCCCAGTGTATTGTTTCTGTGCACTAGCAGGTGCTTGCCCTTTGCCGTTCTGAGGACGAATTGATTACAGTACCTGAATATACATACACTCAACCACAGCTTCTTAAATTTTAATCAGACTTTATTATACATTTTAATTGGGCTGTATTTTCTTTATTATGTGTGATAAAGAAACTTGAATTATATAAACTGGCATTTATTAAGAGGGAGGTGTTCGTTTTCAGTAGATTAATTCTGGTGGCAGAATGGGAATATCAGATTTCTTGAGGTGGTTAGGGTGGGACCTCATTTTAAGAGCATTTCCAATTATTCCTTTTAAAGGCGTTTGAAATGTCAAAAAACATCCATCCATCCATTTTCTAACTGCTTCTTCCAGTTCAGGGTCGTGGGGGAGCCAGGGCCCAAGAAACGGATGCAGGGCAGGGTACACCCTTGGCGGGACACCAGTGTATCAGAGGGCAGACAGACACAAACACAGACATGCACACACTCACAGCAGGGCCCATTGTCCTAAGAGCTGGTTAACCTACCACTATGTCTCTGGACTGTGGAATGAAACTGGAGCACCCGGGGGAAACCCATGTGAACCTGGGGAGAACATGCAGACTCCACCCAGACAGCAGCCCAGGTCAGCAGTGCTGAGAGGCACTAATGCTAATCACTACGCCACTGTGTCACCCATTCAAAAATGCAGTTTCTAAGACTCAATAAAAGAGGCCAACATGTTTTTTATACCCACATTAATTTGCACTGAAAGCAATGAGTAGATTCAAGAACCAAAGAAACAGCAGGCAATGCAGTATTTTGTTGTAATCGGCTTTCAGGTTGTTCTCCATGGTTATAAATTACACCTGGTAAGATTAGTTCATTGTGTCTAAAAAAGGTATATTAAAGTAGCCTGTGCTTCACAAACAGTGTGTCATGGCTGTGAGAGAGGTTGTCAGGTGGGAGTCAGGAGAGCCTAAGTGCGCGATAGAGATGTTTGCTCTTGCCTCATTATTTTTTGCATTATTTAAGAAATGCTAAGTAGCTGTACTGTTTTCTGCCCACCAGTTTTGATTTTAGAAATTTGGATAGTTGTGATGTTAAAGGGAGATATGCAAGAAAAGCATTGAAAATTAAATATATTGATTGACCTGTTACATAAAATTACATTATCTGCAAAGTTCTGCCGAACACTATTGTATTCGAGAACTTTTTTTTTACAAAACCGCTCAATTTCTTTACTTGTATTGGTGTAATGCTGTTTGTTATTCTTGCCAGGTGTTTATTTATTAATGTTGAGTTAAGAAATGTAAAATTGTTTAGTCTTACGAGGATTTGCTTGTTATTTCTTAACCTGAAGTGATATCAGTGCCACATATAACCTTGAACCTTGCCAGTATAATCCTGTTTTCTTATAGATAACTGTGTTTTTATTAAGAGAACCCATTTAGCTTTAGCATTAGATTATATAGACAGAGGGATTCAGTTTTATTTCGCCAGTAATGGTACAATTCTGAATCTCATTCATATCACGTTGTGCTGGATGACCCCAGCAGTCAAGGTCTGGGTTTGCAAGTTATTGGATTTAAAGAACAGTGTCTCCATCTAGTGGTACAAATTGAAAATGCAAAAGCACACCAGTACAATTTATTAAATATTTATGTATTTTATTGTAGGACCTCTCTCAGTGAACACATGATAACATATGTAATAGGAAAAAGAGATCATTTAGATCACAATAAAAATAGAAAAATAAGATGGGGACTGTGCACTCAAACACTAATGTAGAAACTGGTCAATCTGGTAGGGATTTTGGAGGTTCCTCGTTGTTCTGAGGAATTCTGAAATGATTGCAATTATTCTTAAGATAATATTGGGATAGAGAAAGGAAATTAAACTTTGACTGTGAATTGGATTAGCATTGTTTCCCCTGTATTCCATTTCCGTACATAATTAGTTAGATTGTTAACCACAAAATGGAGAAAAAGGTTAGTGCTTATTTTTAGAGAAGAAGTGAATCATTGAGTCTGTATTAAACTTCATCGAATATCTGTTTTTATTTTGGACTATGCAATGTGTGTTTAAAAAAGTGAGTTGTAATGTGTTGGTGAGGAACAACTGTTAAATACTGTTTACGTGTACTGTAAAGTGCCTTTGATTTCCAGCACAACGCTGTTTAGTCTTTATGATATTTGATTTTGGAACCTGATTTGGGTAAAACATATACTGTCTGTATACTGCATACTGTTGGTGCATTTTTTTTTTTTCAGAATTGCTTAGTACCCACAACCTAGGACAACAGGCATTTCATGCATTTAAGTTAAAGTGAATCTGAACATGTAATGTTTACACATAGAAAATATATAATAAAGGTTAAGAGCAAGACCATCCACTTCATCTTGCTAATTGGGATTCTGTTATTGATCCAAAAAGCTAAACATTCCAGAACTGTTCCGGGTGAGTCTGCTTTATCAGTATATAACCAGATCACTTGTTATAGACACTCACCGTTGTCTTAGTTTCATTGTTGAGCCACACTTATCAATACTTTTGAATTATTGAATTCCCCAAGTAGTCTCTTCTGCACTAGAAAGAACTGGAGCAATTACCTTGTCCTTTTGATTGTGATTTACATGAGAATGGGAAGTGATATGTGCTCTTCTTTTTTGACACTTCTCGTTGTTATAAAAAAATAGCTTAATTCCTACTTTTTCAAACATTTTAGAGAAAATGCATAAAACAAAAATTACCAGCAACTGGTGCACATAGATTATTTATGGTTTAATTTGGATGGCATTAAATGCTAGTAACATTGAGTGTTATCTCTCTGTTCATAGGTCAAAATAAAGGACCTTCTACAGGATTCTAGTCAGTTTCTAGTATAAAACGTGTATGGGGAAACACAAATGAGGGTATTGGGGTGCTTTCACAGGAGTCTGTCAAGGATAGCTTCTCCATATTCATGGCTTTAATATCCAGCAGGTGGTCAGGCCATTACAGTGCTGTGACCTTTAAGTTGCATGTGCATTGTGAGTGGGGACAACATCTTCAGCCATCAGCCTGTGAAAATATTGGCTCATAGAGCAGATTGAGCTCTATAATGCAGAAGGTGGTTCGACATTGACATTGCTGGCAAGCGACCATGACAGAGATTCCCAACTGGCGATTGGCGATTCCAAATTGCCAAAGTATAAAACATAAAACGATTATTCTCATTTTTAATAAAAATCTAGATGGAGGTACAGTACAAAAAAGCTAATGTTTTCACTGAAGAGATGCAACCGTCCTATAAACTAAACGACATGTCAGCTAAGACAGTCAGTGCACTGAGAAGCTGTCTAGGCCTCACCAATCACCAGACATGAACCCTGATGATTGTGAGCTCACATCCTAGAACTCCATAGGTTCTGTGGTAAGAAATGCTGCTGTCCTGCTAACGGAGATTTCTTCTTTATTCAAGCTGGAGAAGAGACAGCACTTAATAACTCCATTTCTATTTCAGCCAGTGTTGAGTCTGATGGTGTATAAATACACTAGTGCTCTGTTTCTGCTTACAGTTTTTGCGTGCACACACAAACACAAGTTTGGGTGTATTCTCTTATCTATGTGAGCGTGTGTATGAAACTGTTCTTGTGAAGTTCTGAAGGGAGTACTTTACAGGGTCAGCAGGAGCTCTTTTCCATTTTCTTTTTTGTCTGGGTGAGAGGATGGAGGGGGAGGGAAATACCAAATTGGCAAAAAAAAAACCTTCCTGAAGGTTTGACCACAAGGCCTCTCCAGAGTATTTATAAATAACACGGATATAGACCTACAGCTGCTGTGGTGGGGAATGAGAGGGGATTAATTAAATTAAGAGCAGATAGAAATTTTTATTATATGTTGAAGAAGTAATTTCTTTTGTGCGTCTGATTAGCGCAGAATGTCAACATTTTCTGTAATTTATAAAATACTATATACAGTAGATGCAGTTTGTTGTTATTGCTTATTGTACAATGTATTGTGCAATATGTACGTTGCACTCTTCATGTAATATTTTAAAGGCTGCTTACAAACAGAGGCATTTTTATTCATTTTGTTATGGGGGGATAAATACATGTTCAGAAAATAAACCTTTTATGTTCTTGAAACAGATGAAACTGTGTTGTTCGGAGTGATTCTTCATGGAATATTCCAAACATGTTATGCTTTGTAGTGACTTCAAAAACCCAGGACATGAATTTCCTGTTTTTATAGCTGTGGCCACTTTTAAAAGGAAACCTTAAGGCAAATAAAACTGAAGCATCTTAACAGATACAACACATTATGAAAGAATTTGGGGTTGTGGGTGGAGAAGTACATAATCCATTTGTTTTCACATACAGAATTACAAATGATTTGTTGAAATAAAACTTTATTTCAATTTTAGTTTTATTTCTTTATATTAAAGCTGTCTGCTTTCTCCTATTTTACAGAGATTTTATATTAGAAAAAATAAAGAATTGTATGTTGTTAATAATAAATGTTCAGAAAACCATATTCATGAGTTCACAAATTACTTAACTTCCCCTTTCTTCAGACATGTGTGGGTTATCCTTCCCTGGTGTGATGAACCAAAGATTAATTCTAACCTTATTTCTGAAGGCCTATAATCAAATGTAAATGGTAATCATAGTTAATGAGTACTGTTTAGTACCATAGGTGTATATTGTATTTTAGAATATTGATTTTTTTCACATTTTGAAAATGTTTCAAATTTAACACCACATTCTTCCTTACTGACAAAAGTTACTCTTTTTTTTTCTAGCGCCAAAGAAAAATCCAAAAAGATCGCCTCCTTAATGACTTCTCTAATGCATTGGCCGCCTTCCAAAAAATTCAAAGGCAGGCTGCTCAAAAAGAAAAGGAATTTGTTGCTAGAGTGCGTGCCAACTCAAGAATATCTGTAAGTAGTGGAAGTGTTTTCATCATTTTATTCTGTGTTACATTGCAAATTCAGTTGCTGAGTTTATGTTATGTTTTAGGGAGTAGTTGGACAGTATTATTGTTTTATTGTTGCTATCATTGTCATGCCTATACATTCTTATCTGCAAATATGTTGACATTTCATCTTTACTTATTACAATACATTAAAAATATTGAATAATATTTTAGGTTCAAAATCATATTGATGTTATAGAGAGGTTGAATTGCTGTGTAGTCAGCATCATTAAAAAACAAATCTATGTATAGGGTTAAGCAGTAAACACCAGTGTATAATAACAAGTTAATGAGATTTCTCACGTTCACCTCGGGCCTTGGTTGCCAAACAGATCTTGAAGTGTGACATGGGCACTGGTGGAAAATGACAGATCAAACTAATTGCTCCCTGTGGAAGCAAGAATTATTGTGAGTTTGCAAAACTAAAGTTAACTTTGGTCTCTATAGTCCCATGCTACAGCTTGTTTTTGTTTGCAGGGTGGCCTTCCTGATGACGGCTTCAAAGGAGAAAGTTCTTCGCCCTTTGAGAGGTTAGAAATGTTGCACATACAGCCTTGATATTGCTCAGTCTCAGAATTGCACAGAATACTATGTATTCATATAGTTGCAGGATAAATGCAGCTGACAAATAAATATAGTAGTCAGGTTACAGGCCAAAGAACAGCAAACAGTCCTCTTGCTCAGTACTTTTATTCTTGGTCTCAAAATCAAAATGAAAATTATTAAAGGGATGTTCTGTTATTTCATACAGATCTGTGAAATCGTATACTGAAACACCTTAGAACAAAAACCCAAGATTAAAATTACAGATGTAGATGGTTTCATTTGCCAACTGAAATAAAATGCACAATGAATTTGCCCTGGTACAATATTTCAAGCAATCATTAGATTCATTATTGCACTTGTACACAGAAGCTACTTCACATTTTACATTCAAATATATTAGTTTGCATAGAGAATTACAAATAAATTGAACCAAATTAAGCATAGCTTGCCTAACTTAAAGCCTTTATAGCTACAACAATAAAACTACCAAAATGACTGTTTTTTTTTTTGCTTTCACGTTTTTGTCATTTTTTCTTTTTTACAGCGCTTCTTATTCTTCCTATTCTGGTATGGTTGAATAATTAGTTTTGTTCAGCTTATGGAAAAGGTGTTGCACGGAGATCAAAATATAACGGACTCATTATATAGGAGATGTAAACTCACATCCATTTCTTACCATGCATATGTTCACTCTGTTTCTGCCCTTTCATTCTCATAAGAAGTGGAAAAACTGAATTCAAAATCACAGAATATGAAAACGCAGCTTTTGACAAGCTCTTAGTCATAAATATTGTTTAGCATAACATTTTCTTCTGGGTTTATTAATTATGCTGTTTCTCTACAATGCTTCAGTGTGAAGTTGTATGCTCTCACAGTGAAGGGACAAAAATTGAAAATGTAAGATGGAGGCACGTGAGAAAATGTTATTATTATCGACATAATAGTTGAAATATTTATTTAGCCTTTTCAAGATTTTTATGACAGGCAGCAAAATGGTAGTATATATTTTATTACAGTAATATATATCTCATTTTTTAGGTTTTTGTGCATTACCTAACATCACATCAAACAAGTGTAGTTAGGTATTTTCTCTTTAGTTTAGTCATATTAAGTAACTTTTACTTAACTGATACCTTTTATCGCAGCAAGATGTTTTTATACAAAAATATAATATATAAAATAATCCCAGTATGTTTCTTTTTCTTCAACTTGATTGACCTTTTACTGTAGACTGCAGTTGGCAGTGCAAAACAATTATTCCACATGAGAAAAATAGTGGTTCACTACAAATGATTGGAAAACGGAGAAAAAACATTATATAAACAACTACAACTGTAAAAAATAACCATTTAGAACATAAAAAACTAATTATGCTTTAAGAGACCAGTAGTAAAGCTAAAGGCCATTAGGAAGCAGCAGGTTACTAGAAATTGCAAAAAAAAGGATGCCATTGAATGAAAAGTAGCTGACCTTGAGTTGCAATTTTTTTGTAAAGTTTGAGCAACTGCATTACATCACTGAACTACTGTATTCATGAAAGCGGTGCAGCGTACGTCCTGCTGAATAAAATTAGGCATCTGGCATGTAAGCTTGAAAAATCCAGGGAATCTGCCTGCTTATTGGTGAGAGAAATGTTGCTGCGCACAACCCCAAAAAGGTCCTGTAAGTGAAGTGAGTCCAGTGTTAGTACAGGATGAAGGAGTGTTTTTTTTTCCAGATTTCCTTTCTCTCCTAATATTTAAGATTATTGTCTTCTGCAATCAGACATTCATGGTTTTTGCCACCAATCAGGCCCAAGAGCAACTTTTCAGGTAGTGTTTGATCTGGAAGGCCAGTGCAAGTTAGGGCTACAGATGACCTTTCACCTCATTATAAAAAGGTGGTATTTGAAATAAGGGCAACAAAAGTAAATAATTTAACGAATGCAGTTTAGTTTCTGAGTTTTGATAAACTAATAAGTTGATGATAATGAATGTTCAGGAAAATGTTAGGGCTCACTTTAATCAGAGGAGTTAAAATTGCGCCCTGGCTTAATCTATAAACTGTAAACCCATGGTCCCGCATTCAACTAAATTCAACTAAGCACCAAGCTAAGTCAGTGTATCCCTAATCTGATCTTCAAATTGTTAAAGTGTTATTCCTGTATATAGGTTTTGTATTTTTGTGCATGACTGCATAGGTGCACAAAAATGTGTGAAATCTAATTGGGATTTTGGAGATTTGAAAGTTAGGCCCTTGAAAGATTCATCAATGTATAATGAACAAGTAATAGGTTTATTCCATGCTGTAAAGAGATGAAAGAAAATGCAACGTTTCGGCCTTCTTTAGGCGTGAGGTGTTAGCTCTGTGTAGTGCTGCAGAGATTGTTGTCCTCTGGCCGAGTTCTCAGATCTTAGCCTTGGAACTCTCTAGTTCTGTCAGGGTGGTCATCTGGGTTCTTGGCCACTTTCTGACCGAGGTCCTCCTTCACTGATGGCCGGGTTTGGCAGCCATGGTCTGCACTTGGATGATTGTTAGGGTAGTTCCATATTCTTTCCATTTCTTCATGATAGACCTGACTGTATGGCTGGGAACTTTCATTACCCTATTTTCTACCCCTCCCAGATTGATACCTCTTCATAATTCTATTGCAGAAGTGGTCTTCATGGTAGAGTGTCTTCTCTGACATGCACTGTCAGCTGAGGGGTCCTTATATAGACAGGAGTTGTCAACAATTTGTTGACATGTTAAATGACCACACGTGGACTACGTTCAAGTTTTAAAGTGAAGTTCCAAGGAAAGTAAATGCACCTGGGTACAAATTGGAGAGTCATTGCTAAGGAGGCAAATACTTACCATGTCAAGACATTTCAGAGTTTGCTTTCAAATTACAAATAAAAACATTAATTCCAAATTATTGGGTAATTTGTATAGACAAAAGACAGAAAACAACATAAAAGTATTTCTTTTTAAGTTTACAACTTAACAAATTGTGAAAATATCTATTAGGGGAGTGAATACTTTCTGCAGGCTCTGTACTTTACTAAAGCTAGCTACCTCACTGTCTATATGTGTAGCTTTAGCTGATTACTGATTACAGTTTTTCTGCAGCTTTTTGTGACACTGGGCCTACCAAACACAGACAGGCTGGGTGAATATTTCTAACAACATCCAGCTGTGATTACAGCCACACCACAGCATGGGATATGTGTATCGTTTTGGCCAGATAAGCCCTTCCTGATGTTTCCTGATGTCCCCCCCCACACTTCCATCAAAATCCTATAAAGCACTGTATATCTAAGGCTGTCTGAATTAGTACTCCAGCCAGGTCTGCTGTTGCTTTAAGTGATGCACCCAAGAAGCATAAACCAACTGTCAAGGTTCTTATGAGGCAAAACACATCAAGGAAAGGCCCTGGTGAGCCACTGCTTTACATTCTTCATTAATGATGGGTTACACCACATGCTGGGCTGCTACCATTACATTGGACAGGATGGGTTATTCCAACATATTCCAGTAAAATATCAGTTAACGATGAAGGCTGACAAGTTTCTGGTCAGTTGTTTTATTTTGCTAGAGCTGCATATATGTGAAATAAATTAGAGGTTTCATAACAGTTTTAGTCCATGAATTTGGCAACGTCCTTTTTCAACTGATGGTTTTAATAGGCTGGGTTGTGGAAAGGGGTGGCATGGAGGTGCAGTGGTCAGTGGCACTGGGGCCCTGGGTTCGATTTCTGGGGTGCAGTCTGCTTGGAGTTTGTATGTTCCCCCCCATGTTCCTATGGGTTCCTCCAGGAACTTCCATTTCCTTCCACAAACCAACGACATACTGGTAGGTTAATTGGCTTCTGGGAAAACTGGCCCTGGTGTGTATGAGTACCCTGTGATGGACTGGTGTCCCATCCATGGTGTATCCTGCCTTGTGTCCAATGTTTTATCAGGATAGGCTCCAGATCCCCGACAACCCTAAATTGGATTAAGCAAAATAGAAAATGGAAGGATGGGTTTTGGAAATTATTTGTTCATATATTTCTATCATCCTGACCTCTGAATTTATTCATTATTATTTTTAATGACAGTGGTGGCCAGCCTCAGGCACAAGTACAAGATGATGTCATTACAGAAGAAGATCTTATGCTTATTAAAGAAAGAGAAACATCCATCAGGCAATTAGAGGTAAATTCATCTTAAAATTGATGTCACCATATTGAGTCAATAACAAGTATTGTTTCTCTGTTTGCAAAATTTAACTTAAGATCTACTTAAGACTTTCCAGCTACATAGACCTCAAATGATGGCATAGATTTTGGTGAAATACCTGCTTACTGTATGAAAGGATTGGTCTGCATCATGTGCTTTCTTACTAGATGAAAAGCCCTTGAAATAAACATTTTTCTCTTTTTAATTGAGCATTTTTTTTTAAATGTGACATCTATAGGACTGTAATGGTCTTAATTTATGTTTATGGCAAATTATTTTTATATTCTGTACCTTTTCTTTTTTCATTTAGTCAGATATTATGGACATAAATGAAATCTTCAAAGATCTGGGAATAATGATACACGAACAGGGAGAAACTATTGGTAAGATTTCCTTGTTCTGTTTGGCTGTTTTTCCTGTTATTTTAGATACATTTTTTTTTTATTTTTAGCCCTGAAAAACTGCATCACCACTGGCCAACCCCCTTCTTTCACAAGGAATTTGTATTCAGTGGATTTTTCTCTTCTGACTGTATACTTTTTGCTGCTGTATCTCAGATCCTGATAAAATAACAGTATCTTCAAGACTCAATCTCAAATTCAGTGGCTGGATCTGACCTATATTCGGTTACACATTGCTGTAATCTGTATTTTGATCATCGGGAGAGGATTACTCATAAATTAATCCAAGACAAATGTTTTTCTAAACATATTTAAACCATTTTAAAACTTTCCTATAAACGAGCTCTTTTGATACAGTATATTATGTACTGTTCTTCTGTTCCAGCTTTTTAACAACATGCTTCGCAGCTGTGATTTCTGTTACACTTCCATGTAAATTTTCTTATAGTTTTGTGTAATTTTATGTATTTATCCTCAAACACTGTGTAAAGGTACTATGCACCACTGAATGAAAAATAAACAGTGCTTTTGAAGTGATAGTCACTTTTTTTCTGTACTTTTTTTTTCTACAGTGTTAATCATTTAATGTATGTGCATATTCATTTTAATATCTTCTCCACTGAAGGTAAGAGGGATTAGGCCTGAGCAGTGTGTTATGTTTGTATTTCAGCATGTTTGTTTGACTTCGGAAAAAAAATTATGCAGGTTTCACAGTGGAATTAAACTTTGAAAATTCTCACTTGGTTTCATTTGTCTAAAGTTCTGTGTGGAATTTATTTCTACATGGACCAGTGACAAATAAGTGGTGGTTACACACACATAATGAGGTGCCAGACTGTGTGCCAATGAATTTCACAGTACCTAATGCATCAATTAAATGTGTTGAGCCAGTTGGTCTTTAAGGGCTTTTAACAAGCACCTCTGAGAATTCCAGTTTCTTCATTAACTGGCATGTACTGTTAGTAAGAAAACCTGCATAACATTTTGTTAGATTGTTAAACTAGATTTAAAACCTGAACAGTTTGCGCTTAGTTTGATCTCAACTTTCGCCAAATGTTCTTATTTTGTGTGTAATGCATTCTTATTAGTTTTATGAAATGTTAAAAACTGCTGCTCTTTGGCTGTCTCAATGGTTAAGAATATGTTGAATGTGTTCATGAACTACATGTTTTCCATTGTACTAAAAGTATTTAGTGTCTCTTATTTCACTTGTATCAAATGTTGTAATTCACAAACTATAGAAACCGCAGGAAAATAAAATAGTCTCTTCTAGCATTAATCTTAAGTAAATTTAACCCACTAGCTTTTCATGTATTGTTCTACTACACAGAAATGTAATTAAGTTGATTTATATTTAACACTTCGTTGGGCAGGAGGATGCAAGGAGTCAAAGCACACATAATGGAAGTTTGGAAAGAGGTCTTTTCTGTCTCAGAAAGGCCTCCCAGAGATAGTTCCTCTCCCTACCTGATCTGTACATCATTGAAGAAATTCAGATAGGGAGCTGCATCAGCATGCGTAGGCTGCAAAGGAGCAGGTAAAGGTTTAGTCCATGCTGAAAAGAGAAGAGACACAACATTTCGGCTGTGGAGCCGCCTTCAGAGAGGAGAGGGGAACCTCTCTACCTCCACAGCCGAAACGTGTCTCTTTTCTTTTCGGCATGGAATAAACCTTTACCTGTTCCTGTAAATCATTGTTCACAAGCACCTTATGTACTGTAAAACATCTCCTTTAACTACCCTAAATGGTATTTGGAGAAGCACATATTTTAGAACTAGAATATTTAAAGTAAACCTTTCTTGATTGATTCTTTATACAGATTTCCATACAGGTCCTTTTGTGGATACATACGTACAAAGTACTGCCTATATCACAGATGTACCTTAATTTACAGTAGTGTCATGTTTTTTCTTTTGATCAGACAGCATAGAGGCCAATGTAGAGAATGCTGATGTACATGTACAGACTGCTACCCAACAATTAGCAAGAGCTGCAGAATATCAGGTAAGCTCTGGACGCGTTTCACAGACAAGCGTTCTGCTTAACATAAACCTCAGGAAATGGGGAGCATCAGTTACCTAAAAACTTCACAGATTGTGGCATGAATAGTGAAGGACATTTTTTTCCACTGCCATAAGCAGGAAATCAATGTATTTGAAAGGTTGCCTGCATAATCAGTACACAAATGTTTCCAATAAAGTCATTGAATGACAAAGTAATCCAGCTAGCTTGTAAACCTATGAAACGTGATTCCAAAATCATATGCTATATAAGAATGTATTTATTTTAAAATAGAGTAGAGAATGGACCCCATAGTGCAAGTTTTCTGGAATCCCTACCCACCCATAGAATGAATGTTGATTTGCTGCCTGTGGCTGGGACAGACCCAAAGTGGCACACAAGCACAATCTGGCAGATACTGCATGGTGTATCTGCTGGGTTTTGTTCTTGGTGTTCTCAGGTAAATAAGCAATTAATTTAAATGTGGTGGGATTTTTTTTGACATTGAGAAAGCCTTGGTACATAAGTTGACATTACAATTAAGTAAATATACCCTTGTATGAATGAGCACAGGAACGGCTTGTTTTCAAGAACCACAGCTAAACCGTATACAGTGTGTATAGAAAGTCACCACCACCTTTCAAAATGTTCACCTTTTGTTGCCTTAGAGCATAAAAAGAAGACTTTTTCCCGTTTTATTTACGAATTGTACCTTGCAACATCCAAGTAAAAACAAAAGCAAAATTTCTGAAAAAAATAAAAAAGTAGAATAACTGGGTTGGATAAGAAACATCCCCCCTGAATAAATACTTGGTGGAAGCACCTTTTGCTTGAATTACAACCTTGAGTTTGTTTGGATACATCTTTACTAACTTTGCACACCTAAAGGGAGGAATATTTGCCCATTCCTCCTTACAGAACTGTTCAAGCTCAGTCCGTTTGAGACCGTTGATGAACTGCTCTCTTCATGTCATTCCAAAGATTTTTGATGGGATTTATCTGGGGCTCTGACTAGGCCACACAAGGACATTCACCTTCCAGTCCTTCAGCCACTGTACAGTTGCTTTGGCGGTGTGCTTTGGGTCATTGTCATGTTAAAAGGTGAACAATCTTCACATTTTCAACGCTTTGGCTGAGGGCTTCAGGTTTTCTTCGAGACTTTGCCTGTATTTTGCACCATCCATCTTCCCTTCTATCCTGACAAGTGCCCCAGTCCCAGCTGAAGAGAAACACCCTCACAACAGGATGCTGCCACCAGCGTGCTTTACTGTAGGACTGGTGTTCTCTGGATGTTAAGATGTATTGGGTTTTCGCCAGATGTACCGTTTGCATTCCAGCCAAAAAGTTTGATTTTGATCTCATCTGACCACAGCACCTTTTGTCACTTGGCCACAGAATCTTTAAGGTGTTTTATAACAAAACATAAACAAGACTTTATGTGGCTTTTTTTAAGGAGTGGGTTTTTTCTTGCTACCCTCCCATACAGGCCAGATTTGTGGAGCGCTTGTGATATTGTCACATACACTCAAGGTTCGCTCTTTGCCATAAAGGCCTGTAGCTCGTTCCAGGTTGCCATCGGCCTCTTGGTAGCCTCTCTGATCAGTCTCCTTCTTGCTCGGTCGTCCAGTTTCAAGGGATGGCCTGATCTAGGCAAGGTCTGGGTGGTGCAATATGCCTTCCACTTCTTACTGATGGTCTTGACTGTGATCCATGAGATACTTGAAGCCTTTGAAATCTTTTTTATACCCATCTCCTGACTTGTGCCTTCCACAACTTTATCTTGAAGTTCTTTTTGAAAGCACCTTTCCACCCATATTGGATACTTTGCTTTGAAATGCACTTCCAAGCAGTTGAATCCTCTAGAAACAGCTTTTATTCTGGACTAATCAAAAATCACCACAGTTGATCACTGGTGGGAGCCAATTAGTTTGTTGTGTGATCCATAAGGTGATTGGTTATACCTGAGCAAGTTTTCAAATGCAATTGTAGGGGGGGGGGGGGTGTTCACTTATCCAAATAAGGTATTTTACTGTTGTAATATTAATACATTTTCAGAAAGTTTTTGCATTTTATTTTCACTTTGCGGGTTGCAGTGTGTCAATTAAAAAAGAACAAGCCTAATTTAATTTGTTTTCATTTTCAGAGTGTCGTACAAGAAAAGGCTACAAATTGTGAAAGGCGGTGGGGGCTTTCTATGCCCACTGTACTGTATACATATGACTGTGCAATATCCTGGTATACAGTATGTGTTGCTTCCATCATTGGCTACATGTAAATTTAGGTGGAATGTTTTCTTTTCACAGCGCAAGTCACGGAAGAAGATATGTGTCATTATTGTGGTTCTCACAATAGTTGCGGTGATAATTGGAGTAATCATCTGGGTCTCGGTGAAAAAATAAACATGGTCTGTTTCACATCCACTCTACTGAACGCCACGAACAAGTTTTTATTGTGTTGTCTAATTTCACCCTTAAAGATGTTATACTTGATGACCAAACCTGAGAGCCAAAGCTTTCCAAAATCGTCTCATCTGTCTTATCTGATCATTGCTGATACTGTATACTGTACAAACAGACATCTCGTTACATAGTATTGTCTTCATTGTATCGTAAATAATTTAGCCTTTTTATTAAAACAACACAAAATGTAAATTGATAATGAAATATTTTTCCTGCTCATTGTTGCTGCATGTGCCATGAGATGAATGAACCCTGTGAACATGGAACAATTCTGAATGTGCCAATCTATCAGCTTAAGCGTCTCAAGAATCTCCGGTGGTTTAGATTACTCTAGATTGTTTATTTTATGGTCAAAATGCGACCTGTTTTTCCCAGGTTTCATTTTTGTTATGTTAATTTTGTGAAAATTAACAATTTTTCCACAATTTGCCTATTTCTTATCCTAATCCCAAAACTCTAAGGATCTCAGCAGTCCTTTGTGCTAAGCATGTCTTTACTCCCCAACAACATCGTGCATAACCATGCAAATTGGTGCTTGTTGTCATGTGTACCCAGCTTTCAAGCATGTTATAAATTTTACACAGTGTGCTCACACACAGACCTGGAAAGAGGAACTAAATGAAAAAATATATGATGATTAGTTTTTGCACCTGGGCATCGGTTCATGAGCTGGTTTTTGTAACATATTCATAAATGCTGCAGGCTGAATACAAATTTTCCTGTGTAAACGTAACACTAGTCTAGTTATCAAAGGCACAATTAAGAACTATGCTTCCAACTGTTTGCTGTACTTTGCTCCGTCTATGTAAGTAGGTACACATTCCATGTTTTGAATGTCTCTATTAATTAAGAGCTAGTAATAGTAATTATTAAACCATGGGTGTGATTAAAATGTTACTATTTTCAACTGTGATTTAAAATGCAAGCTGTTACAATCAAAATAAAATACATTCAAATTGATATATTAAGTGTTGTTTAACTTCATTTTAATACTTGTTCTGGAGCTATTCCTGTTCCCATTGTCTTGATTTTCAAATCATAAGAAATAACTCTGTTATTATGACATGCTAATACATTTTATTTAAGGTCCTTCACCTAAGATCCCCTAACACTTTTGAGTTACCAACACTGGGGCGGAGCAGTGGCACTGTGGCTAAGAATCTGCGCCTGTGGCTGGGAGGATGCCAGTTCAAATCCCACGGCCGGCAGAGGAATCCTACTCCATTAGGCCCCTGAGCAAGGCCCTTCACCCCAACTGCTCCAGGGGCACCGTCTAAATGGCTGACCCTTCGCTCTGACCTCCAGCTTCTCTCCCTGTCTGTGTGTCTCATGGAGAACAAGCTGGGGTATGCAAATTCCTAATACAATAAATTGTATATGGCTAATAAAGTGATCTGATCTGATCTAAGAGACCTTTGACCTCTGTGTAATCATAAGCAAGCAATGATCCATAGGCAATGGACCTTTTGCCTATGGATCTGCATCAGCGGATAAAAATAAAACTACTGATTTCTTAATTGGGAAATTCCTTGTTATACATAGCACTACACAAATTGCATTACAGTATAACCATGATGACTGGGAATTGAAAGGAACAGCATCTGTATTAATAGTAGAACTGGTCATATTTAGCTTCCCATAGAGAATGCTTTTTGTAGGAAGTGCAGTTTTTGGAGGTCCAGTCCATCAGACCAACATCATTCACTAAATGTTCTAAAGCACTTCAAGAGGCAATGCATTTTACTCTTTCAGATACGTATTGGCTGATGTTAGTAACAAAGTCTGAGCTGTGATACATCTACAAGCAGACACTGCGTCTAAAGGTAAAAAGATGTTCAGTTGTTTCAAGTAGTACTTGCATTAACACACACTGTGAATTCAGTAAACTAGATCAGAATAGGGGTAGTGAAAATTGATACATGAGAAGACTGTCTAATTACTCTTCAGCTAACAGTATCAAAGATAAACATGAAAGGCTGAGGTTATAAGTTTGGAATGCATAAATGACTGAACGTCCCACCTTAGCGCCTTAGGCATTTGGAAGTGCATTTAAAGTATTTCCTTGCTACTTGCTTGTAACAGTAGCAGACATCAGGTTTTACTCTGCTTTTTTTCATTCTTGTTGTGTGTGGACCATCATTATCATGTCAAATGCCAGAACATTCTAAGTATTATTGATGTACCCAATCAAATCTTTTTTTTCAAAGTTGCATATTTTTCCATGCTTGCATTTGCAGATATTTTTGACAATATTTTTAAAAACTATTTGGTGCAAACAGTCCTCAGTTTATCATTAGAGACCAAGTGGAGTATCTGTATCGTATGAGTATAAACAGGACAAAATGTGAGATATAATGGTACATTTCTGCCAGAGAACTACAGTATGAGCGTAACTTAAACTTTGAGCTCTAGTTATCCAGTGTATCAACCAGTTAAATTCTGATATTATGATAAATTGTACTTAAAGCTGAGATACATATTTAGTTTGAATAATTGAATTCGGTCAAACATTAACCTTAATATTGCATACATGCAGATGATACACAATTATGTGAACCATTCAGTGATTCTAAGCTAGTTATCTGTAAACAGGGATATGTTTAGGTGTACTGCTTATTATAGTATTGACCATTCCCTATCCCATTGGAAAAGAGACATTTACTGTACAATCACACTTGGTGCATTGTTGGATTGACAGACAATGTTCTATATTAAGGACAGTTACTGCTTGTTCAGCTCAGCCTGCCTCTTGTATGGCCTAATAGAGTTTGTGTTTAACTTCCGGTCAACCCTGGGAGTCAGCCAAAAGTTGGTGTTCCCACTTTATGTAGCTAAATCAGACACAAGGTACAAACAAATATTGCAGAATTTGAAGATTTAATTTTGTTACATAACACCGTAACAAGCAATAGCTCTGAATGCCTTCAATCTAAACCAGGATTTCTGTTCTGGGACCCCTTTATCTCTCTGTTGCTGGCTACCCTCTCCTCTGTCTTCCCTTTCTCCTCTCTTTCCTTCACTCTGACAACTCACTGAAGCCCAGCAGGTGTGAGCCTAGCCAGTACCTGGATGAGAGACTCCTGGGAAATCTAAGGCTGCTGCTGGAAGAGGTGTTAGTGGGGCCAGCAGGGGGCGCTCACTCTGCAGGCTGTGAGGTTCCCTAATGCCCCAGTATAGTGATGGGGACACCATACAATAAAAAGGCGCCGTACTTTGGATGAGAAGTAAAACCAAGGTCCTTCATTAAAAATCCCAGGGTGTTTCTCGAAGAGTAGGGGTGTTACCTCAATATCATGGCCAAATTTCCCTGACCTTTACCAATTATGGCCTCCTAATCATCTCCATTTCTGAACTTGCTTCATCACTCTGCTCTCCTCCCCACTGAGAGCTGGTGTGTGGTGAGCGGACTGGCGCACTCTGGCTACAGTCGCATCATTCATTTTACAGTCGCAAAAAAGATGAGGCCGTTTTGCTTTTAGCAGCTAAGTGATCCAAAGGTCTCCTTCAGATGACTTTTTAAGAGAAGCGATAATACCAGCACAGACAATGTGTTTTATCCCAGTTTTCCACAACCTTTTTTATCTTCTTTTCTGAACTTGTGTTCTTTGGTTCATGTTTCACTCTAGCTTCTGAAGAAACCTTTAACACTCTATGCCAACTTAAAACAGCAAGAGGAAAAGTTAAGCTCACAGCAATAGTCATCGCTATCACCACCAAATATACTGTATGCTCCTCCTTCCTAGGCCTCAGACAACTATAGTGTATACCAGCACAATAATCATCTTCAGCCATCTCTATCCCAACTGCTGAAGCAGCCCAAAGGGTGTAAATCCCACACAACCCCTCTTCCACATCTTCCTTCACTGAGATACTCTGCCTGTTCTCTGGCCATCCTGTTATCACTCACTTCACCTGCTGCTTATTCTCAGACATCACCACAGTGCTCACCCCCTGACCCACACCACCCCTACTTCCAGTTTCTCCTGCTGCGTCTGTCTTCTCACACCCTCATCAAGGTCAAAGGTGCTAGGACATACACTATTACTGTATCTTTTCAGGAGATTAAAAAGTCCACAATTTCACTCCTTCACATCTCCATCTCTACACCCTTGCTTGTAAAAGCTGACATTTCTAAATAGATTTAAAGTTACACTCATAGTATTTTTGATACCTCCTCGGGGTGTTGGGGAAATGTACTTTATTGTGCGTTCCACTGTCAGACGTCACTTAAATCTACAGGTTCCCAACTCAGAAAGTGTTATGACCCTCTATCTCTATGGAATCTTTGGGAATAATTCTCAACTCCAACTTCTCCTCATCTTACCACAATTCAGATTCAGTCACATCAAAAAAATCCTTTCCACTTCTTTTTTTCTCTCACCCTCCTACAAGTGAGCTCCTTTCAGTCACTTCAGTTATGCTATGAGCATCATTATACAGGGGCTCCTTAACATAAAATCAATCATCTTTTCCAGGTTAATCAATTCTGAAATCACACTTTGCATAATGCAGGGTACTAAAAACTGCAAAGATATCTGATGCTCACTTGCAGTTCAAGACCTCTGTACTGTAATGGAGAGGCTCCTTGCTTTTGAGACAAAAGACTTTTTTTTCACTATACAGTATGTCCTGAGGTTTGACATCATTGGCATATCTGTGGCCTGTGACCAGGCTTTTTATTAACGGTCCTGTCCTTATGCAGCTGTGGTACAGTACCTTACTGTAGGTATACCTCACTGTATTCCTACAGTCTCTAACCAGAACATCCACACATCTGAGGACCATATACAGTACCTGGCTTTCTCTAACCTAAGGGATTACATATGTTTTGAGACAAGAACCTGCCTGATGGTATTAGGTGCACCTCCAACAGCAGAGTGATTATTGTTCCCCTCCTTGGGAAAACACTCAACTACACTTAAACTAGGACTTGAGGCTATAAATGTCCAACCAGGGATGATTTGTTGAGTACTCAACTTGCTCCACTTTACTATTAACTCATTAAAAGAGCTCTTAGCCCTTCACTTGTGGATTCCTAAGCTCAGTTATCAGTATGTTACATTTCCCCTTCAGTAAACTAAAACAATCTCCTGTCTCACTTCTTTGTGCACCTCAGTAACCTCCTCTGAGGTTATTTTGGTCCCTGCTGGACACTACTCACCCACATGCCGAGAAACGAGGGATATGCTTGCTCCTTAGTAACAAAATTTGAAGTTTTCCCTTCCCTTCTCACTCTCAACAGGTTTGCCTACTGCCACATCCTTAGCCCTTTGCTCACTTATTTGGACTGCCAGCACACAAACGGCCACAAGCTGCCTACAGGGAAATTATGAATGAACTACCCCTGCTCCAACTCCCTCCTGCATTAGGGAATGCCAAACGTCCATTGTAGGGAATGAAGTCTTAGATTCCACCTTAACCATGATTGCCATGACTCTTGCTATCTAGCACTCTTGTAAACCTAAGACAGTTTAGCACCTAACCATCGATGCTAAGATGGATCCCCCTAGATAGCTGTTTTTCTCTTGCAATTGGGCTACAAACCTCAGCTCTTGCCTATCCTGGAAGTCTTGTGAAAGCTAATCTTTGTTCATCTCCCTCTTCAGGATTTAGTTATATCCTGAACAAAGTCCATAACATATCCAGACATATCCAGCTAATATAGTCCATGATCCTCCGTCCCCTGTCCAGTCTGTCTCTCTTGTGTAAGAATTTGTTATACAGTAGCTGTGCTTACCTTGAACACAATATCAGCCATAACCAAACCTGTGTTTCTCTTTTCTCAAACTGCCTACGGAGTTTCTAACCTTTCACATTCATGTTTTCGATGATGGAGATCCTTGATCTATTCATTCCCTCCCCAGGGAATCTTTTTAAATCCCCTCTGGGATTTATAACCAATTGATCTTTAGCCAGTTACCTGGCCCAGGATTTAGAACCACATTAATGTTATGTTTGCAGGGTATAAGGGTGGGAACTCTAACCTGCTATCTAGTAGCAGGATCATCTTTCTCTTGGTTAATCCCATTTGGCCAGAACCATGCTACCTTATTAGTGGCCTGACACCACCACAACCGAATCAACTGAAGCAGTCTGGGCTATCCCAAACCCTCCAACCGTGTGCCTGTTTCTCTAGGAAACTCTGAGTGGCTGAATAAAATTATGATGAAAGCAATCGGAAGCTTCTGGCACTGAAGTTAGCCTTGGAGGAATGGAGACACTTCCTGGAGAGAGCTGCTCATCCTGTCCTTGTATTCACTGATCACACAAATCTAGCCTACATTGAAGGAGCTAAGCGGCTGAATTTGAGGTAGGAGGGAGGGGTTCTGTTTTTTTCATGATCTGATGAGAAATGATTGATGTCTTTAACTCAGTCAAAACAATTGAGGTACCAAGATGAGCGGACTTACTCTCCAAGATACATAAAAATGAAAAG